AGTTCAATGGTGGTCTTTGTGTTGCGCTACGTGGTCTAGAATTGCTAAAAATTGAGTTAAAAAATTTGACGTAATCAATTTTGAAGTTTTTTTTTCGCTATAACTTGGCCAAAAAAGGAGGTATAAATCTAAAATTTGGTATATATATATATAGAAGAACACAGAGACTATCACAGATATTCCGGTTTTCGAAATTCTGAGAAAAAAATGTTGGGATTTTTTGCGCTTTTCTAAAAATCATCTTTTTTAATTTTTGGGGGTCGAAATCCCTAAATTTTGAAAATCCGAGACAGCAGTTTTGTAGCGCCGCCTTCTGTCTACATGACCACATATTTTTTTTTGAAATTGCTTGATAACTGTAGCCTTTGTGAGCGTTTCAAGATTTCATGTTTTTTTTTGCTCATTTTTGCTCGAACATGACCTCAGTTTGACCTCAATAACTCCTGACCTAAGGTGACCTAAGACTTGAAATTTTGTGTAAAGTTGTCAAATTGGTGCCCGGTAAGGTACTTAAAATTTGGCGGCGCTGCGCGCCGCCGTTTTCTTGTTATTCAGGAAAAACCACTGGGGGCCAAATTGCCCCCCCCCCCCAGCGGGGCGAGGGTTAATTGAAGGTGTTCCGCCGCTACTGATGCTTTTCCGTATGTCACGAAACAATGGCGACGGACCGGAAACCCAAAGTGGCTCATTCGAACGACCCCGAAGTGAGCTATAATTGGCAGCCAAAAAGGCGACACCTGGAGCTGACGTCACCTATGAACGACTGGAACTCGAGGCGGCCGCTTTGCCCCGAGTGGCCGCGTTGCCTCCATCTTCCCTGCGACTGAACCTCCGAGTTCCAACTCCCGTCTCCCTGTCCTGAAGCGCTTCTCATTTTCAGTGCAACCTACAGATAAGGTAAAACATCACACAAACGCTATCTCTGTTTGAATCCCCATTTACATTTAGGATGTGGAATATTGCAGGCCCCAGGCTAGCTCCCAAATCCCAATGCTGCGCTACCTACTTCGAGTGTTGTCAATAGATGACGCTAGTAGTTAGCGCCTGTTGCTATGCTGTACCGCACTACATGACGACGTGCATTTTATTCCTAACAATATTATGTATTACGTCATTGGTTTTTCACATTCTGGGACATAAAAGGAAATATTTTTCATCCAAAAGTAATTATATTATGGAGCTTTATTTTTCATTAGTTTTTCAATCTATATAGTATCGACCAAAATCAGGAAAAATCTTTCACTACTCGTAAATTGTAATAAAAAAATTACTGTAGCAAATATTGATGACGTAAGATTTTCACTAAACATGACTGCTGGGGACTGCTGTCAATTTAGCAGCACTTTGATTATCCAACTACAGTTTGATATTCAGGGTGCGTCGATTTCGCCCAAACTTGCCCCAGGGACCAAGTCTGACACGCTGAGCACGAATCTGGTGTCAGAAATCCGCTATTCTCAACCGATCACCCAAATTTACCGTTTTTGAGTTCGTCCATCTACAGATTGACAAACTCCAGGGGCCATCGATTTGGCCCAAAAATGGGTCTAGGGGACCAAGTCTGACACGCTGAGCACGAATCTGGTGTCAGAAATCCGCTATTCTTAACTGATCACCCAATTTTACCGTTTTTGAGTTCGTCCATCTACAGATTGACAAACTCCAGGGGCCATCAATTTGGCCCAAAAATGGGTCTAGGGGACCAAGTGTGACACGCTGAGCACGAATCTTGTGTCAGAAATCCGCTTTTCTCAACCGATCACCCAAATTTACCGTTTTTGAGTTCGTCCATCTACAGATTGACAAACTCCAGGGGCCATCCATTTGGCCTAAAAATGGGTCTAGGGGACCAAGTCTGACACGCTGAGCACGAATCTGGTGTCAGAAATCCGCTATTCTCAACCGATCACCCAAATTTACCGTTTTTCAGTTCGTCCATCTACAGATTGACAAACTCTAGGGGCCATCGATTTTGCCCAAAAACGAGTCTAGGGGACCAAGTCTGACACGCTGAGCACGAAGCTGGTGTCAGAAATCCGCTATTCTCAACCGATCACCCAAATTTACCGTTTTTGAGTTCGTCCATCTACAGATTGACAATCTCCAGGGGCCATCGATTTCGCCCAAAAATGGGTCTAGGGGACCAAGTCTGACACGCTGAGCACGGATCTGGTGTCAGAAATCCGCTATTTTCAACTGATCACCCAAATTTACCGTTTTTGAGTTCGTCCATCTACAGATTGACAAACTCCAGGGGCCATCGATTTTGCCCAAAAACGAGTCTAGGGGACCAAGTCTGACACGCTGAGCACGAATCTGGTGTCAGAAATCCGCTATTCTCAACCGATCACCCAAATTTACCGTTTTTCAGTTCGTCCATCTACAGATTGGCAAACTCCAGGGGCCATCGATTTGGCCCAAAAATGGGTCTTGGGGACCAAGTGTGACACGCTGAGGACGAATCTGGTGTCAGAAATCCGTTTTTCTCAACCGATCACCCAAATTTGCCGTTTTTGAGTTCGTCCATCTACAGATTGACAAACTCCAGGGGCCATCAAATTTGCCCAAAAACGAGTCTAGGGGACCAAGTCTGACACGCTGAGCACGAATCTGGTGTCAGAAATCCGCTATTCTCAACCGATCACCCAAATTTACCGTTTTTCAGTTCGTCCATCTACAGATTGGCAAACTCCAGGGGCCATCGATTTGGCCCAAAAATGGGTCTTGGGGACCAAGTGTGACACGCTGAGGACGAATCTGGTGTCAGAAATCCGTTTTTCTCAACCGATCACCCAAATTTGCCGTTTTTGAGTTCGTCCATCTACAGATTGACAAACTCCAGGGGCCATCGATTTCGCCCAAAAATGGGACTAGGGGACCAAGTATGACACGCTGAGCACGAATCTGGTGTCAGAAATCCGCTATTCTCAACCGATCACCCAAATTTACCGTTTTTCAGTTCGTCCATCTACAGATTGGCAAACTCCAGGGGCCATCGATTTGGCCCAAAAATGGGTCTTGGGGACCAAGTGTGACACGCTGAGGACGAATCTGGTGTCAGAAATCCGTTTTTCTCAACCGATCACCCAAATTTGCCGTTTTTGAGTTCGTCCATCTACAGATTGACAAACTCCAGGGGCCATCAAATTTGCCCAAAAACGAGTCTAGGGGACCAAGTCTGACACGCTGAGCACGAATCTGGTGTCAGAAATCCGCTATTCTCAACCGATCACCCAAATTTACCGTTTTTCAGTTCGTCCATCTACAGATTGGCAAACTCCAGGGGCCATCGATTTGGCCCAAAAATGGGTCTTGGGGACCAAGTGTGACACGCTGAGGACGAATCTGGTGTCAGAAATCCGTTTTTCTCAACCGATCACCCAAATTTGCCGTTTTTGAGTTCGTCCATCTACAGATTGACAAACTCCAGGGGCCATCGATTTCGCCCAAAAATGGGACTAGGGGACCAAGTATGACACGCTGAGCACGAATCTGGTGTCAGAAATCCGCTATTCTCAACCGATCACCCAAATTTACCGTTTTTGAGTTCGTCCATCTACAGATTGACAAACTCCAGGGGCCATCGATTTGGCCCAAAAATGGGTCTAGGGGACCAAGTCTGACACGCTGAGCACGAATCTGGTGTCAGAAATCCGCTATTCTCAATCTCAATCAATCTGTAGATGGACGAACTCAAAAACGGTAAATTTGGGTGATCGGTTCAGAATAGCGGATTTCTGACACCAGATTCGTGCTCAGCGTGTCACACTTGGTCCCCTAGACCCATTTTTGGGCGAAATCGATGGCCCCTGGAGTTTGTCAATCTGTAGATGGACGAACTCAAAAACGGTAAATTTGGGTGATCGGTCGAGAATAGCGGATTTCTGACACCAGATTCGTGTTCAGCGTGTCAGACTTGGTCCCCTAGACCCATTTTTGGGCCAAATCGATGGCCCCTGGAGTTTGTCAATCTGTAGATGGACGAACTCAAAAACGGTAAATTTGGGTGATCGGTTGAGAATAGCGGATTTCTAACACCAGATTCGTGCTCAGCGTGTCACACTTGGTCCCCTAGATCCATTTTTGGGCGAAATCGATGGCACCTGGAGTTTGTCAATCTGTAGATGGACGAACTCAAAAACGGTAAATTTGGGTGATCGGTTGAGAATAGCGGATTTCTGACACCAGATTCGTGCTCAGCGTGTCATACTTGGTCCCCTAGTCCCATTTTTGGGCGAAATCGATGGCCCCTGGAGTTTGTCAATCTGTAGATGGACGAACTCAAAAACGGTAAATTTGGGTGATCAGTTGAAAATAGCGGATTTCTGACACCAGATTCGTGCTCAGCGTGTCAGACTTGGTCCCCTAGACCCATTTTTGGGCGAAATCGATGGCCCCTGGAGTTTGTCAATCTGTAGATGGACGAACTCAAAAACGGTAAATTTGGGTGATCGGTTGAGAATAGCGGATTTCTAACACCAGATTCGTGCTCAGCGTGTCACACTTGGTCCCCTAGATCCATTTATGGGCGAAATCGATGGCACCTGGAGTTTGTCAATCTGTAGATGGACGAACTCAAAAACGGTAAATTTGGGTGATCGGTTGAGAATAGCGGATTTCTGACACCAGATTCGTGCTCAGCGTGTCAGGCTTGGTCCCGTAGACCCATTTTTCGGCAAAATCGATGGCCCCTGGAGTTTGTCAATCTGTAGATGGACGAACTCACAAACGGTAAATTTGGGTGATCGGTTGAGAATAGCGGATTTCTGACTCCAGATTCGTGCTCAGCGTGTCAGACTTGGTCCCGTAGACCCATTTTTGGGCGAAATCGAGGGCCCCTGGAGTTTGTCAATCTGTAGATGGACGAACTGAAAAACGGTAAATTTGTGTGATCGGTTGAGAATAGCGGATTTCTGACACCAGATTCGTGCTCAGCGTGACAGACTTGGTCCCTGGGGTAGGTTTGGGCGAAATCGGCGCACCCTGAATATCAAACTGTAGTTGGATAATCAAAGTGCTGCTAAATTGACAGCAGTAGTCTGCTGGGGATGTTGATCTACAGACGCAAAATGGCGCCGCGTTGATAATTTTTGCCGCGGCTGGCTCATTTGTTTTTATTTGTGAGGTCGACAGATGATAATTGTTACATGGTTGTGTGATGCTCCTGCGCTATCTCTGTTACTTGAACTCAAGTTTTAGTTGCATCGAATAATGGCTGGTAAGTTGGGAATAAAACTGAAGGCAATTGGGCACCGCGCCACATTTGCCGCGTTACTTTTATAACTTTAATAACTGAATTTAAATGTATATAAAATATTATTGAAGGAAATATTAACATTGCTTCGTAATGCATACCATGAAGCATGTTATATTTATATTACATGAAAATTGTTAGCGTGTCATACTGGGTTATAAATGCGTTCATTTATTGCTTGCCCCGCATATTTTCTAGTTACGATTGCCATACTTTAAGGATAAATTGAGGTTTTCAGCTCAGGCTTTGGATTTATCAATAGCTGAAATATTTGCAACAGACATCTTTCTTTAAATGTTGAACTACTAACAGCATGATTAGACCTTCAGTCTTTAAATCTTTGCTTATATTACCAATAGTGTTAAAGGAAATAGTTCACTTTTACGAAATTATTTTTTTTGCAATGGATTTATGATTTTTTATGTTCAAAATGATCAGCAAAGAAAATAAAACCTATTTATAACAAAAGATTATTTTCTATATTTTGATATAAGAAGAACTTTTCAGTTTCTGTAAGGCACAGGCGATCCAGTAGGTATGAAAAGAGCATGGGTTCCGAAAATTCTTCAGAAACTAGAGAAATTATCGCGGCCACCGGCATTTGGGCGATCTGCTGCTGCTGAATGTCCTTATTGATCAGTACGAGAATTTCTCAGTAGAGTTCTCGTAGATAATTTCTCTAGTTTCTGGAATTTTCGGTACCCATGCTCTTTTCATACTGGATTGGAATATATGCAAGGCACACATCCTCAACGCAAGACATCTTTTTCGGGACGAGAAATAGAATATCTTTGCCTAGGGTGATCGTTGGGCTGTAAAAGCTCCTGATTTATGCTCGTCTCAGCCCAGGCTACGGAACTGCTATTCCAGTTCAAAACCCATGTTAAAAAGTGAACTATTTCCTTTAACAGTTGTGAGTTGATGTTTGATAGCATTTTTGTGATATTACAATTTGCCTTGTTTTATTTTGATATGCTACATTTGAAATGCTTTGATAATCTTTGGATGGTTTTATTGTGATCATTGCTTGTCTGATATTGTCAAATTGCCCTGTTGTTAGAGCATGTATGACGAGCATACCTACTACCTTGGGCTGATATTTGCGCTGTTTTCAGCAGACACATTTGGAAGGTTCCACTGCAACTACTGCCAGGAAAACATCAATGGCTTGAGGATAAAATGTGTTGAATGTGAAGATTTTGATCTATGCTTGCAGGTAAAGAAAAGTTGGCCAATAGGTAGAAAATGTCCTGCTCCTTTATGTATGTTATATGTATAATGTACCAATATTAATCATTTAATCAGTTCTGTACATAATTTGGGTTTCTTTTTTCTAGCCTAAATAGTTCTTGAATAGTTGGTGAGATGTTTCATAAACTTTCTGGTGTAAATTAGAGAGGTCATTTGCTTATTGAGGCTCTAGCTTCTGTAAGATTGAGATTGATGAAACATACTTCAAAGGCATTTTCTACACCCTGAAAAATAAATGAAGGTTGATTTATTAGCTGGGCTATTAAGTATGTTATCAGGAATAACTTCATTCGCACCAAAAAGCCAACAATATTTCATAGTTTCTGTTGACAACATTTATAACTTATAATGTATCTATAAATGCTTTTAGTTTGCTCTTCTTGTGCTTAGAGGACCTAACAAATGTTACACATGGTTGGAAAACTATTGCAGCCATAAGTGGTTGCAACATTGCATTGTATGGTTGTTTTTCACAATTGGGTGGTACACAAAAATCCAGAAGTGCCTAACAAATCAAGAACCTAGTGATAATCATAAAGACTGACAGGCAGAGAATTAATTTAAACAAGCTCTGCACTTTTCATGTTTCATGGTTCTGAGTTCACAGGAATGAAAAAGATGTGTTTTATTGATTTCTGTTACAAAGAAAGTGTTTGATGTGATTCTTCTTTCTAATTGCAGCAGCCTGTTTCAAATGTAAATATTTCATTTTCAGTGTTTCGCATGTGGGGCCGAAATTGGCAAGCACAAGAACAACCACAGCTACCAATTCATGGTAAGTTTGTGTATCAAAAGCACCATTTTTCCACTGGCATTTATGGTAGTTATTTCATATTTGTTTATTATAAAATGCTTACTTGCATAAGGTTTATGATGCAATCTGGCAAGTGTATCAACCTGGTGCCGACAACAAAATGATCAATTAGTTTTTGTTTTACAAAGATGCAATTTTGCCAACTTACATCTAACTTGGGACCCCAATAACTTGAGGATTAATGTGGTCATAAGTAAATCATTCCACCTCCGCCTGTTGACAGCAGACCGAGCCTTGAGCTGTTCCAGTGTATCCAGTACCCTTCCCATCTATCTCTCACTGATGTGTACTACAGGACCCGGGCAACTTTACCGTGTTCAACGGCGAGAGCTCATGGACGGCCAAGGAGGACGTGCGGCTTCTTGACGCCATCGAACAGTATGGCTACGGCAACTGGGTGGACATTGCCAAACACATCGAGCGACGCACACCGGATGGTGAGCACATAGCGATGGCCACAATCGCGAGGCGGGGGAATGAAAGATGGAGGTGCGGTTGGACATTGATATGTTGGACGGGAGATTTCAATGTCATTTAGGCAGTCATACATGAATTCAGCGATTCAGCAACGACCATGGGCTACAACACTACACGAACCTCTCATCTCGCTGTACCCTCGCCACTGTCCACTGACACCCCCGCCCCTTTCCCCCGGTAGAGGCCCAGGAGAAGTTCGTCACCTACTTCGTGAACGGCGTGATCGGCCGACAGACGATGCCGCCCATCTCCGAGCTGGAACGGATGCCCGTGGCCGTGGACCACACGGCGGCTGATGGCGCCGGCCCGCTCTCCCCCAGTCTGACCATGGCACCGGGCATGGCGCCGCTACAGCTGGAGCCGGAACAGGCCGTACAGCTCGGATACATGCCGCTCAGGGACGACTTTGAACGGGTGAGAGGATGGAGTGGAGGTGATTTTGAACGGGCGGTGATGATGGGATAGTAACGATTATGGATGGGTCAGGGAATGAGGTGGTGACGCTTTTGAACTGGTCGTAAGGGAATGTAGTGGCGTGGAGACAATTTTAAACGGGATAATTTGTCGTAGGAGGGCGTCGGGTGAATGATGTATTTGGACAAGTGCAGACATACATTTTGAAAGCGCTTGACTGTTGCGTGCTACAAGCACCTGGCTAATTATCGCTGTCCTGTTTCCCAGGAGTACGACAACACCTGTGAGACGCTGGTCTCCCAGCTGAACATCGGCAGTGTCGAGGACGAGGACGTTGATGTCGGTAAGTCACATCGGTCTCTATATGTCATGGTACAGCTTGTTAATTTTGAACGGTCTGATATTCAGACCACTACATAGCTTGGGGCATTATAGAAATATTGTGTAATGATGCACTTTCCTATTCGCAACGACTGGATTGCCTATTTGCTCGCTTTCCCTTGAGCCGATATCACTGAACTATATAATGTGGAAGGCGCATCGGCCGCCAGATAGTGTCCAACGGTGCCGCCATGTTGCGCAGACCAGAAAGCGGCCGCCGCCTGTGTTGGGGAATAGGGAATTCGGGACCTCGATTTACGTTTACGGTCGCTGCATCCGTTACGTTCAAGCTATGTGGACACGGAACCCGGCATCTTACGCAGAATTGAATGGAGAACAAGATGAAATCCTAAAAAATCCTCAGATACAAGAAACTAATACGTTAAACCCTTATAAGTCAATGGGGAAATATGAAAATTGCTATTTTGGCGCCGAGAATGATCTATAACTATCTCAAGCATATAGAATCATGATTTCATGCACTCCTTGCAAGATTCTGTGCTTCATATTTGCATTGTTGGCCTTGCGTGACGTCATTTGTGACGTCACAAAAGTCACAATTTTTCTTCAATAACTCCCGATCAAATTGAGCTAGCGATTCGGGAAAGCCACCAATGGACTCAGGAAGACCTGCCGAATCGAATGATATGCGACATGACCTCTTTCGACTAACTTCGTGACCTGGGGGTGCTGACCTGACCTTGACCTGAGGTCAACACCCTAAGTTGACCTGACCCGAACAAAAAGTATGTCACTCGATGCGCCTGAGCTAGCTGAACACGATGGTGCCAAAATCGCGGCTCTACGGCCATTTTTGGCGAAGTTATTTACCAAAAACCGAACCCGTGCCTTAGATCACTTGGCCTGACCTCAGAGGTCACCGGTTGACCTGAGACCTTTACAGCGGGTTCCTACCAGTCACTCTGCATTATACTTTGCCGCATACGACCACTTTACCGCTTAATTCTAGTTTAATTAGCGGCGCATTTGCGAGGTGGGTTCAATCAACCCCCTCAGCCGGGGCAAATGTAGGTCCGGCGAGTGAAGTTGAGGAATTCTGAAGATACGATCGTGTTCCCCACTCAATTCTGCGTAAGATGCCGGGTTCCGTATCGACGTAACTTGAACGTAACGGATGCGGCGGCCGCAAACGTAAATCGAGGTCCCGAATTCCCTATTCCTCAACACAGGCGGCAGCCGGTTCCTGGTCTGCGCAATATGGCCGCCACCGTTAGACACTACGGCCAATAGGGTTGAAGCGGCAGTGCTCCCCTGTGGCCGATATAATTTACCATGAGCTGGGACAATTTTTAGGTGAGCCGGAACATCCAAACGGAGTCTCTGCATATCTACTCATCAACATATGCATAGTTTCATGACGTCTGCCCACTCGCTTTTGTCTGACCACCTCTCCGGCGTCTCCCACAGCGCTGAAGTTGGCGCACGTCGACATGTACGTGCAGCGGCAGCGGGAGCGCGCGCGGCGGAAGCGCGTGGTGCGCGACTACCAGCTACCGGCGGCGTTCTTCGAGGAGCTGAAGAAGGAGGCGCTGCTTCAGGTGCCGGGAGGCGCGCGCATGCCCCGCCGCAGGAAGGACAAAGGCCGCACGCTGGCCGACCGGCTGCGCACTCTCGGCCAGTTCCTGACCAGGAGCGAGTACCAGCAGTTTCATGACAACCTGCAGGCGGAGAAGGACCTGGTGTACAGGATCAAAGAGCTGATGAGGTGAGAAGAAGCTCAGCCCATGGAGTGTCAGTCATGGTCGGAAAGCGAGTCTCGTTTCACCCTTATAGCCTTTGTGATGAAGTCACGAGTAAATCCTTCCAGCTTTACTTCATACCACTTGATAAGACAGTACTCATACATATGTCAGCTGCCAGCTTTCCGTTATCTTCAACAGAATGCGGTTAAATCTATCAATTGACTAGCATCACAGTTATGCCGTATCGGCCGGTCCGCAGACGTTGAACAAGAGCATGCCACTGCGTGTGTTGAACCTCTTGTGTCTGTCCTCGGCAGGTACCGGCGGAACGGTATCACCAAGATCGCCGACTGCGTGGAGTTTGAGCGCGCCAGGGCCAGGCGCAACGCCGAAAACGGAGGCGAGGACAAAAAGGTGCGGATGATGGTGTACCGGGAGGTGGACTGGGAGGGGTGGTCAGCAGCTGTTGGGCTGTTGGTAATGATCGCCATTGTCATTTTTGCCTCCACACCGTTTTTAGTTTTATTTATTTGTTAAAAACAAAATCAGTTGTCGTAGTTGGCAGAGCTTATCTTGGACTTAGCGTTGACTACCGCTGAAGAGTCTGTGGAACAATAAATCACATCTGCCTTTAAAACAAACGCATCCAAAGACCTAACTCTTCAAACTTTTGATTGAGTAATGTTTCCTTCCTTTTCTACGAAATGCAGACTCATTAAATGTGGGCTCAAATACAGGCAAGAAATTGGTAGATTTTAAAATAGAGCACGGGCTTAGAGGCCTATTTGGAGTGATTATAGCTCGATTTTCCGACTTACAGAAAGTTACTTATTTTCCAACCTTCCCGCATAATCTGTATCATATTGACAGCGCATTGAATCTACTTACAAGGACAGATAATTACCATAGTTATTGGTCTATTTCGAACCAGGGTTTTCCGTCTCCTTGTTTGTAATTCTCGGCTCAGACCCAGATATTTGTTTCGAACGTTTGTTTTCGTTGGGTGGGATCGGTCCGAATTGTTTTGAACGTGTCTGATGAAGCTTGCCGAATGAATCTGGCGATAGTGTCGTCTGCAATATTGCGTGCTATTTTGATCCGGTCGATACCGTTTTAATGACTTTCACAAGCTTACGGAACACACATATTTGGTACGAACGCTCTCGACTTATTTCGGCTAGTTTTATGTGCTAGTTTTACATTTTAGTATAGGATCAGCTAAAACATACATTAGCTGAAATAACGTGCAACTGGAACATCTCAGGGAACTTTGGCGACATAGTACGTGCTGCTACTACAGTACGGGCTACACAAAATATGCCGTGGATATCCTAGTGCATAGGCCGTATTGGCAAACACGCACACGCAGCATAGTTTCGCGTCACCACTAGCTGATAGCTGCTCGGCAGTCTGTTTCTGATTAGAGGGATACGGAGAGGAAGCGAAGCTGGGCGGTCACGGGATGCGTTAGGACGGTCACGGAGTCGGCCGGGCAGTCACATATCGCTGGCGGTTTTGCCGGGCTGTCTGGTTAATCTGACGCCGGACTCCCTGTCTCTGTTCGTAGGCACACGATCCAGATTCCCGGCAGGCGCAGGCGCCTCTGCTCGGGTGAGTGATTTCACTGCAACACACACACAGGCACATACAGAGCCCGAGGTGCAGTAACCCACGCGTGCAGAGAGGGCCTTAAAAACCGCTGACCCTAGCGATCACCTGATGGGCGATTGGATAAATTCTGGTAGCAATGGACCTAAAACGCGTAATGATGCATCCGCCCAAGATATATGTAGCTGCGCACTTAGGTAAAAGAGTCTTGACCCATAATCCAGTAGGTAGTGGTTAAGTTTCTAAGTTGCGCGCAGACGAGACTGTATGACGAGCTCGGCAGTGGAAGTGCGAGCCGAGATAGGAAAAGAAATTGTCATAGCGTGTTCCAGAGTCTTCCAGTGTTCCGTCGCTTCATGGATTTCGTCATTTTTAAAGCGTTATGCGTAAGATGTTGGCGATCAGTTTACATCACTGTATTGAATCGTCCGCCGGTCTTGCTAACCTCTGTCTTGTTCTCATCTGCAGGCCACAAAGCGCAAGAAAAAGCTGCGCTTCTCCCGAAAGAAAGAGCGAAACTCTCGCTACTGGCGCTTCATCCTCGCTCAGCGGGAGCTTCTCGACAAGCGACAGCAGCAGCAGCAGTCTCAGCCAGTCCGCGGCCGGTCCGGCGGCCGCTGATGAGCTGCCCCCGTCGCCGCCGTCGCCGCCGCCGTACACCGCCGAGCCTGAGCCGCTGAACGAGTCCGCCGGATACCACATGCTCAGCAAAGCCGAGAAACGGGTGAGATATGGCGGCGGGGTTGGAAGGAGGTGGAGGTTTGACGGGGGCGGATCAGCACCACCGATGTATTTTGTGCGGTGTTCACGAATCCGCCAGGTCGATATTTTGGGCTGTGGGAATTGAGTCATGCATTTTCATCATTTTTCGTTCGAAATCCTAATTTGAAAGCATTCGCTAAACCTGTTATGCTTATTTTGCCTTTTATTGTTTCCACTCCATTGGTTAATTTCTTGTATCTAAATTTAATCGTCTTATGATTCGTCTCGCTAATTCAATGTGCCTATAGCTCACCGCAGTTAAAATTATCACGACGAACGACAGCCCACTGACCCTCCCCTTCCCTCTCCACCAGCTGTGCGCCCGCCTCCGTCTGCGGCCTGCCAACTACGTGGCGCTAAAGACGGGTCTGCTCAGCGATCAGCTGATGCGGTGTCGTGGCGATCCGGTCCGACCCCGCGCGCTCACAGGCCTCGACAAGCACCACCGCAAACAGATCCTCTCGTTCCTGGTCACTGCCGGATGGATCACCGCCTGAGTTAGAGGAGAGCTGGACCGCTCCGGCCCAGAGTGGCGTCAGTGGTCCATTAACCCGTTCAGTTTGGGAGGAATCGGCTGCTGGCCATAGCTGGGCCGGGGCGGGGCTCAGGGAGTGTTTGGGTATTAATGGTAGCTGATCGGGATCTGGGTTCTTTTCTTGAAACACTTTTTATAGAAGGTTTGCCTTGTTTGATGTTTCTGTTATCCGGAAAGCATAGTTTCATTTCGTAGGGATAATTTCACTACCAGGGTTGACTTTGGGGCCGTTTTGGAGCTAAGTCCGATGTGCTGTGTTTTTGGTGGTATTGTTCGTTTCCTTTTTTGTGGCCTGGCGGTTGCATCGGCCGTTTCCTTTCACTCAGACGACAGCAACTGCCGTGTTCTTTCTGATCCGGTGTCTGTGGAAAAGTGCCATGGGTGCCTGCGGCGACGGTGGCGCCGCCAGCGGAGGCGGGCGACACTACAGTGCGGACGGCTCGACGGTGCGCGGGTGGCGGCGACTGGCGGCAGTTGTGTAAACTACAGAGTACCACACTGCACCAGTCCGAACCAGTCGTTTAGTCTAGTTCATTGTGGCATTGCATCCCGCTTCCATCATGTGATTGTGTTGTGCATTATTTTTGCCGAGAGTTGTCATTCGTACGAGATGTTCGTAGATTATGCACGTTGTTTGTAATATACACCATACAAAGCTCGAAACGTGTAATATTGACCCGTTGACCATCTTGCAATGCTTGAGAGACCTATTGAAAGTGGCCAACTGAAGTGGATGCGCATTTCGCGTGAAGTATTATTGTCGCTCTAACTAGGCACTCATCAAGTCGCAGGGGCTCGCGGTAAAGAGCTATAGCTCCAAGCCCAGGGGCGCACGCTACCCACCACGCGTGCACTAAAATGGCGGAGCTATTCACCTGAACTACGATGCATAGTTCAGTTTAATTACATTTATAGTTGACAGTGGCCCGGGTGGTAGACGGTAAAACTTAAAAGGCTGGGAGTCTTCTCAGTCTACCACTTGGTATAGACTATTGAGGGTCTTGCCACTTGTCATGTAGCGTAAAGCATAGGTCAGGGGGAGATAATGATAAAGTCTACAGGGCCGATCCAAGTCTCTCCTTTGCAAGTCCCAACAGTAAGCCAAAGCTCCGACAGGATCGACAGCATCCGACCCAGTGGTGCAGATCCATTTGCTCGAGCCCAGGGTTCTGCTTGCAGGGTCCCACTTTTCAGCGTCTATCCTGAAATACCCTCAACCCCATCTCCGAGCGTTGTTCCCGCGCGAGGCTTCCATTTCGTCTTGGGTCAACAACAGTCTCTCAGGAACCAACGCTAGTCTGAGATACCTTTATGGGAGCGTTCAGCATGTTTGGTGCTCAATGGCACCATAGGAGTGCAGCCCTACGACAAAAGGATATCCAGTCCTCTCCGGCCAGCGCTGGGCGCATCCTGCTACCATTATTTAATAAAGTGTACCTGCTTATCGCTAAACACGATCAGTTACTGCACACAATTACTTGCCTAACACGGTTGCTACTGTAGCAAACGGACGTTTATGATTCGACAGACTCACTAAGACCATGACATGTCGACTGTGACCAACTGTGACGCTCAGCATATCGCGCATTGCTTTTTTTTTAGATTTCGGCGAGTGACGAACTTATCTCCATGACCCCATCCCGACATCCCTGATTCCCTACCCACAGAATCGAATTTGCAGTTATTGCCTGCATTTTTAAATACACGTCCCGATCCAGAGTAAAGGCCCCTGCAAACGTGCGTAGGAGTACAAAAGGAAATAAAATAGCAAATGAAACATGCTCGCCCACCCATAAGAATACCAATTACTGGTACGCATTTTTATTGTGACCGGGTACTGCAGAAGAGCAATGCTGACATGTCAACATGACAGAGAAATTCGTCCGTAATTTATTATCCATCCCCGATCGCTTGATCAGTACCGTAACGGGCTTCCGTAAATCGTAGCCCGTTGCCGCCGGGATCTCACTTTCTGAGTGGCTTGCTCATCAAAATGAGACCTACATCAGCATACCTTTGGAACATCGAACTCCACATTTCATACGTGTCCATCATGTCACCAATAGCATCCCTCCCCCGAATCCCCACTGTCCCTCCCTAGATTCTCACAGGTAGCCCCTCCTCTCCAAACCAGTTCATTTCTCCGCGCACAACTGTATTACGCGGCGAACAGACGTGCGCGCGCGCGAGCGATGAGACAGAATGACAATGCTGACAATGGGGAGGTCGGGGCGCCGGCGGCGCAGGTCGCGCTGGCCGGCCGGGGGCGCCTCGCTGGGCTGAATGTCAGCCGGCGGTCGAACCGGCAGCGGCCACGGCCCAGGGGCGTCTACATGAAGGTGCCGCTGTAGCTGTTGCCGGCCATCTGGGAGCTGCCGTTGAAGCCTCCCATGGCGCCGTACCCGCCGGCGCCGAATCCACCTGATGGCGAGAGGGCGGACGATCAGACACTGTGCATGGTGAGGGGCAGGCACGTCAATGGAGCTGGGATTGCACGTAAAGGAAATATTGCAAGACGGATATCAAATGTAAGTCACCTCATCTGAATCATCATTTAGCATTAAATCCATACATGAAACTTATCTTAGTCACTCACCTTCCTCTAAAGGCGTTGTCCAAGTAGCATAGTCACTTGCGACGCCAATGTACACACCCCAAGTCACTCACCTGTCATATTATGCAGCTGTCCTTATACGAAAGTAAGCAGTAAGGACATCCCCCCCCCTCCGACCTCCCCCGGCCTTGATAAACAGTAAGCACCATCCCCGCATGATCGCATCCACCGAGTAACTCACCTTCCTCCGTGGAAGTCCGTATACCCACCGCAGTTCACTCACCCTGCCACTCACCTCCGTAGGCGGCGTCCGTGTACCCGCCCTGCTGAGCGTCGCCCCACTGGCCGCCGTTAAACCCGGCCCGGCCCAGACCTCCGGCGGCCTGTCCGGCCCCGGCTCCGGCGCCGGCCATGGCGCCGTAACCGCCGTACCCTCCGGCCGGCGTGCTGTTCAGGAACAGCTCGATGTACCGGTGAGCCATGTGCGACTTGTCCTGTGCGTGATTAGAGTATGGAGAGGGAGGGAGACGGGGGCGGTTAGCGGTCAAGCTGTGGTGTAAAAAGCTGAGCCCATGTACCACTTACGCGTGGAAAACGCTAATTAACCAGGCAGCATCAAACAAAAAGAAACAATACCGACTATATCGACCACGCAAATGCATCAGGTAGGCAAATATGTTTGCTGCATATAATAAGCAGGACCACGTCATAAGCGCTATCAATGCTCTCCCTCACGAATCGCCATCTCATGTTTTCCCCAAACGGCGGCGCTCATACAGACCTTAGCCATGGCCTTGACGGCCTCGTCGTGAGTGGAGAAGTCCACGTTAGCCTGGCCGGACGGGCGGCCAGAGTCGTCAAACAGCATGTGCACGTGCACAGGGTTCAGCGGACGGAAAAACTGCCGGGGACGTGAAAACACCAGCCAGATTTGGGTCAGATAGAGCAGATACCGATCTGAGAAACAGGTCAGACACATAGACATTGAGAACACATGTGAGATAGCAGGCTGGACATAAGTCAGATACATATTAGACGTTACACAGAAATAGACAGTTGGCACAGATCAGGTACAAACACATCGAAAACAGGTAAGATCCTTAAAATCAGATTTGAGAGTCGAGACATAAGTCAGTTACATGAATTGCACATTGAATGGTGAATTAAGATAGCCAAGACAGCAGTCACTTCAACAACCTGACCACTAACACATTACGTTGATTACACAGTTGACAGTACATACACACCAGCACACATTGCGTCTCACTCACGTCGATGATGTCCGACTCTGTGCTGCGGAACGGCAGGCCGCGCATGTGCACCGTGTGGCCAGTCATGCTCTGCCAGCCCTTGCCGCCCATGTTCTTCATGCCGCCGCCGCCGCCGCCGGAGCCGCGGCCCATGCCGCCGCTGGCCGCGCCCGTGGCGCCCCAGGTGCCCGTGCTGGCGTCGCCGTAGTACTCGTCGTAGTCAGACTGGAAGCCTGCGAGGTGGGACCGGTGAATTGTCAGAGGATATACAGAAAAAAGATTAATGGGAGAGAAATGATCAGGCGGCGTGCTGCTAAGTGAATGAAAAAAAAAATGACTCGTGTTGGGCATTTTATGACATTGCATCAATGACACTTATATTGTAAAATGAAATAATGTAAAGTAATTTTCCCATAACAGGACTTTGAACAGCAAACGAACAAAATGTTAGAGGTCAGGTGTGTTACCAAACTCTCTCCACGCTAATCGGTGCCACCTTCCTTATCCCACACACCGCTCACATTTCCAGAGCCCTTACCTCTGCGACCTCCGCGGCCTCCGAAGCGTCCGCCGCCACCCCAGCGGTCGGCGCGGTCGTACGGAGTGGGCCGGGCCGATAGCGGGCGCACCTTACCGGCGCCCTGTGCGGCGCGGATCTCATTCAGACTGCTCCGGAAGATCTCAATGTACCTGCCGGCCGGTAGGACTCGCTATAGATGACGCCGTTTATAGGGAGAGGGGGGAGGGGAGGCGAAATGAATGGAATGACAGAACTGGTCAGGACAGAATGCTGCTCTGAGATAGGGTGAAGTTGGATGGACATGAAAAAGTACCATTGGTGTAATGAAAGAATGTTATTGGGGATAAGATCAGGAAGATAAAGAATGATAATGATACTTTTACTGAGGGACTGAAGTCACTCTTGGTAAGGATACGAGAAGCAAGAACATTAAAAAGCACGACCGAGGATAAAGAGGTCATAACTGGATGGGTAGAAACGGGCACAATACTCATGGAACAGCACACATTCATTTTCGGAAACAAAACACTCAAGAAAAAGGGCAAAAAAGGATCACGCACTTTTGTAGGATTGAACTTCCAGGACAAAGTTGTAGGAACGAAATTTTGCAGTATTGTGTGGATAGTCTAGTTCAAGAATAAGTTGCAATATACAGGTCAAAGTAGGGGAGAGTGGGGTAATTTGGCCGGTGGTGTAAATTGGCCGCCCCCACTTGTACGAAAGCTGATAAAAGTGAATGAAATAACTTTAGGCTCTAGTCATTTGTCGTCGGCAGAACTAACTCGAGAACAAATGTCAAAACTTTCCCCCTCTTACTTTTATTCAAAATTAATAAAAGGTGAATTTCGTTAGAAAATGGTAACTTTTACTTCCGTCTTAAAATTTGTATAACATGTAGTATTTGGGCCGTACACGAATTCCAACATTATAGCGCCATTTTTGAGGGTGTTCAGCGGTTCCAAGAGCAATTTCATCTAGTTCTGTACAGCCATGACGACTTTATAGACAAAAATTTTCAGAATGGCAATGTGGGGTTATTTGGCCGGGACTAGCGGGGCAACTTGGCCGGTGCGCTCAGAGTCACTATGCTGGGACGGCCGAGTTGTCATGGTCAATTATACCATAAAGGACATAATTCATGACCAACTTTGACTACCTTGATGCCATATTTCCTACTGGACAGCTGTAAGGGCATGTGACGTCATCAAAGGTTACTTAACGCTTTTTTGCTAATAAATACTTACAGAAAAAAGATACAGCCGCGCAAATGGTATCATTGTATTCAGCTCGTCAAGGCGCATCGAATGATATACATGATGACCTTGAACTCACG